AGAGAGAGAGAGAGAGAGAGAGAGAGAGAGAGAGAGAGAGAGACGCTAGCAATCAAAGCTGATTAAGCCCACAACTGGGGAATCTGTGGGGCCAGTGTCTCACGCCAATCTTGCCCAATCAGCCGGTTGGCCGGGGAGATTTAAAAAATAGAATGCCTACTGTCAATTGTCCCATAATTTAAATAAATCGAATAAATGGACAAAGTGGCCAATTAGAGTAGTTGCTGGTTGCTGCTTTAACGCATTATTCTCTCTTTCTCGCAGTGTCTTCGACTCTCCTCTCTCGTCTCTCCCTCCCCCTTCTTCTCCCGTAAGCCCCGTGCACCCCTTCCTCCTCCTCTTTCTCCTTCTTCTTCTCACTGAAGATGCTATCCTCCTATTTTCCCCCCTCGTGCGCTCCCGATACCGTCGTCGTCCTTTTAATTCTCCGCGTTTGACATCGACGTGCCGCTGCCACCTTGTCTTCGTCGAGGTGCCTTCATTACATCGTGAAGAAGATGACCATCAACGACGTGCAATGTAAACGTATGATGTGCTTGTGCGAGATTGGTAATTCGAACATTAGTCTGTTAAGCTTCGGTAGATTCGCCACAAGCATGAGCTTTCTGGAATTGCTATCAGTCTGTCATTTACCAAGATTGGTATCTCGAAAAGTAGGCTATTACGTCTATCTATATAGATCAATAATCTCGCTTTTATTTTCATTTTGAAATTGATATCTCGCACATTAGATTACTATATTTTTCTATTGTGAGCATAAATTTTCCAGTACTGGTATCATTTAACTCATTTAAAAATTAATTTTAAATTAATAAAGCTTCTCTCCGCTCTTAATTGGTCAGATAAATTTTCCGCAATCAAATCGCATACATATGTATATACCGTGTAACTTCGATATTAATATTCCAAAACATCAGATTATACTGCATCTTTGCAGACTCGTTAAACTAAGGAATAAACCTTCTAAGATTGAAACCGCTTTATCGCTGAACATAAATTCAATAAGTGAGATATATCTTTGGAGGAAAAAGAAAGAAAATAATTCACACTCCATCATCTTGATCTATCTAGATGAAAGGCATTTTTCTCGATCGCCAAATTCTACCAGTGGACTTTACTAATTATAACAATTTACGACTTTAACAATTATCGCCGTTGTACGTGCCACCAGGCTGCACCTGTTCGACATAAGTTTACGAAGAAGTTTAATGGCCTCATTGATATCTGTAACCATCAATTTCGTACAAATACAATTTAATTAAGCCTCGCTATCGCGCTACGACTGTGAGTGATATCGACATCGTTGATTGCTAACGATCGCATCTGTCAATTCGTAAAGAGAATCACTTAATTAGTCGAGGCGCATAATCTTTGAAATATGACAGCGTTAACAGTTTAGAAAAAATTAATCATTTATCTTAATATTTTTTTATTGATTTTTAATTATCTGTCTCTTATATGTTGTGTGCACATATATCGTTTTGAGTAATTAAGTCGCAATTAAATAGTTATCTTAGAAGACAGTAATTGTTAGAATTACGTTTTTCTTTGATAGAATCGAGGGAGGAATTATTACATAAACGACTCCCTCAACATATCTAATTACACGAAACAGACTCGTTAACGCGAAATCACGAGTCTGGAAGATAGATATTATAGGTGTACATAGATGCGCGTGTGCCTGCCTACATGGGTTGCAAACCTGGGCAGGCGGCCGAGCAAGCAAGCAAATAACAAATAAAGCATAAACAGGAGCTACGATAAATAACTGGTGCACCGCTTTCTACATATAGTCCCGGCTAGGAGCCCTCCTGGGCCTCGCTGCTTTTTCTCCCGTTGACCCCTTCTCTCCGAGAGAACGATCCGCCGCCCCCACTAGATTACCTGCCGGATCCACGTACGTACGTGCAACGATTCAGGCACCGAAGAGTTAAAGTCTCAGCGACCTTTAGTTTCTGTTCATAACACGCGGAGAAGACTTTTTTATTTTAACTGCCTTCGTATATACTTTTTGGTAAGCAATTTGAATGATTATGAAAGGTATGTTGGGCTATTATCGTAGGAATCGTATATATAATAGTCACAGAATTGCCGAATCATTTCCGATAGCCCCATATATAGCTACAGTTATATATAATCTTTAAAAATTATTCAATTAAGGAGTAACGTAGAGTATCTTGAGAAATTTTTTTTGTGAAAAATAATCTCTCGAAAATTGTATTTAACAAGTGGAATGAAACAACACTTATAATATTTTATATCTATATTTGAATGAAAAATAATTAAATATTTAATATTATAATATTTGAGAAAAATCCCGAATAGAGTATAATCTGTCATTTCATGAAGTTTTGCTTTTAAACAATCGTTTCTGTAAAAGAAAAAAAGGGATAGTTTTTCATTTGCATATAATTCTATTGATTTTCATGGTAATTTTCGTTTGTGTTAAAACTCGCGAAACGGTTTTTATTATTCGAAATTGAATGACGCGATTGTGATGACAGACGATCGCTGTTTTGTTTCCACGTCCGTTTCTCGGGCGAGCGACCGTTAGCCTTGAAGAAATACCATTAAAAAGCGATACGTGCAGTGAAAGAGAGCGACGGAGACGGAGAAGAAAACGAATTTCATGGTTCATTCGAAACTTTTTAAACGAATTTACACGCGCCGTCCGCCACGCTTCGAAGGGGTTGAAACTTTACGAATTAACCGCTAAGTAAATATTTGACAGGTAAATTACAGCATGCGTCGTTCTGCTTTTTTTTTTCTTTTTTTGAAACGCTTTGCTTTATCGAATTATTGAGAAACATTGACTGTGGGCTGTTTCTTCGTTTGTGATGACGGCGACAGATTTTATTGTTCGCGACGAGATTTTTCGATACGGCGATAAAAATACGTGGTAACAATTTCTACCATCGCATACTCGCGGTAACGATTGCGTGGTTCACCTAGAGCCGCGCAGACAATGGCCAATTTCATCAACGTGGACGCAAACAATGCTCGCGCCATAATTCGTGGTCCACTCATGTTCTCAGGCATTCTCGCGAAACGGCCCGTCATCACCGTCTTCCCGTCGTCATCCCCTGTCTCGTAAAAACCCGCAGCGCCTTAAAGACGGAGGAGATATACGAAATTTTATTATTT